GGATGTGGGAGAACGGGTACCGACCGGTGTCGGTAAACGTAACGACCCGGAGGGAGATCCCGTAGGGGTGATCAGACGATATTGGAAAGGCAGGGGGGTAATTCAGCTTGTACACGGGGTGCACGTACCGCCACGGGTGACAGGTGGCGGCGGAATGGCCACGTGTACCGCCGTACGTATAACGTCCCGATCGGGTACAGTAGACTAGTAGTTCCTACTGTAGGGGCGTAGAAATTAGTGTGATGGGAGTGTCAGCCGGGGGAGTCCCAGCTAGCACACGTGGTGCGCGCTCTGCCTGCGAGTACAGGTGGCAGGAGCCCAGCCACGTGTGCTGCTGTGCAGATTACTCCCCGGTGGAGTACAGTAGAGGTACTCCACTGTAGTGATCCAAAGTAGAAGTGGATCACTACTGTACTGCCCGGTCGCCGGAGGTCGACGTACTTAGGGGCCGAGGCAGTACGCTCCCAGAGTAAAAAGGGGGTAGCGACCCCCGGGGCGAGAACTTAGGAGAAAGAGGCAGATCGTCCCGCACGGGTTATTCTTGAGGGCTGGAAGCACACGCTCCCCAGTTTGGTCGTTCCACCGCCTGGTGGAAGCGTATGCCCATTGAGCCCTATCCCCTCCGGGGTCGCAATTCCACTCGTCCGTTTACCGGAGTCATAACCGCCGCCCTCAAAGAGAGGTTGGTGGTGTTGTAATTTTACCGCTGCCGTGGACACCCCCTCCGTGACGGGGTAAAAACCGAACCGGAAGGATCCATATTATTACAGTGGACTTCCCTGCTACCCTCGATCTTCAAGAAAAAGAACTCAGACCCAAGCTCCGCCCTGTCATCAAACTTCATGTTAGCCGGTTTACTGGTCACACTACACAGCAGCTGCAATGATCGCAAGAAGCAAGTGTGTCGGCATGTCGAACTTGGCCGCTTCTGATTCGCGAAGTGCCTACCGATTGCATGCCATCACCCACAGCCAAGCGTCGTCTTTTCGAAGGGCTCTCCTCGTCCTAACTCATCTTCTGTTGACGTATTTTTTACCACGCAGTGGATTTAGCACTAAATTCTGTCCTGCAGCGATCTTCTGGCGCTCCTGATCAGCACGTTCCTTCATATATCCATCCTTTCGGGCCCCAAGGTCCCTCTTTGCTTCTAGATTGTCCCGCAATAGTTCTTCGAGCTCCCCTATCTCACCTCCAACACCAGAACAAACACTTTCTTGCCCATTGCGCTTGGCGTACTGGTCGAGCAGCTTCTTGAATCTGTCTTGAATATGTTTTCCAGTGACTTTGTGCGCGAAATTTGGGTTTGCGTTGGCTTTCAGAGCCGAGGTCTCGAAGCGGGAGAGCGTCTTTCTATGCAGGGTTACATGTGCCTAGGAGGCGAAGACTTCTTGCGCGATAATTAGATCTTCTGTGCCCGTAAATTTGGATTTGCGACCCGGCTTGGACTCTCGACGACGAATGTCTGTAGGGGTGGAAACAGGCGTCCCTCCTGGTGACTTCTCGGGCGTGCCTGGAACGTCTTTAGGGGAAACAACGGTAGCCATGGCGCGAGGGGAGCAGATGCTGATGTGTTTTTTGGCGTGTGCTGGTTTTGATGTGCTTGCAATTGGTTTCCCGCTAGCTGTGTTTGTGAAACGACTTCACAAACGAACCATATTTTACGATTGTTCGCCAGGCTTCATTGGTGAGTTTTGCAATTGGCTTTCACACGTGGACAGGTAATGAGAGAAAAACGAAATCATTCACCATATTTTGATTGCGTAAATACTCTAATATGAGTCGTGTGTATAGGGAACAACGCAGAGCTCACTTTATTTCATTTCTTGGACAAGAAGTCGTTAATAACAGCCTGCTTAGCAGCTGCATTTTTGGATGTCTCTCTTGTGGCTATGAAAGCCTTCTTCGCCTTACATATACCCAAGGGTATGAAAAGAGCCCTCCGCCACACTACATTTATACGCTGAAACCTGCACAGTAGTACTGTGACAGTAGCCACCATCCGGCCGTCGCATCTCCGACTCTGCAGTTCTGCTACTACAGTACTGAAGCCACACGTGTATGAGCACGTGTTGACAGTATGATAACCGTGCCATGGTGTTTTGCATAGCACTAAATCGTGGAAGGCACTACTGCAAGTAGCACTACTGCGCGAGCCCCCTGTAAGGCTGCTCTCGCGAGGCACAAACAAGACTTCTACGCCAGCAGTGGGAGCTCTACGGAATTCCAGGGAGGCGTACAGTATGATACAGACTGTATCATACTGTACTGTAATAATACCGATGGACAAGCCCCTGGAGACTCCAGTATATATTGCAACAAGCTGTGGGACGATACGAGTACAGTACAGGGGGGGACGCGCAATAGTGCCGCTTTTGTTACTGCCTCCCTCGGATTAATGCCGCCCAAGATTGGCAGACACGGGTCGTGCCACGTGTCACAGACGACGTCTTCACCTCCCTCTCCTCTGGCAAGGTTGTTTGGATCTTTGGAGAGTCTGAGTGTGGAGAGCGATGTGAGCAATGTGAGCAATGCTCTATCGCACTTGAGGACTGCGAAACGGGCCTTTTTGGAGGCTAGGCATGAGAGGGAGGGTCAGAAACAACAACAGACTTTGATAACGGAGTTTTGGGTTCACCTAACTGGTCACTGCCGCCCCAGAGTGGTGCTGTTTTTCTAGTATATCGCACAGGGCGGCACTAATGCGTAGGGTCCACTGCACCCTTCGCTGGGGGCACGTATTCCGCCTGAAGGTTCCCGTAAGTCGGACCATGTACCGAGCGTGGAGCTGGACTTGCCGGACACCGCCGCGGCGTGGACCGGTCTGTGAGCTTGGATGGACATGGTAGAAAGCTTGCCTACAGGCAAAGTGAAGCGAGCCTGTCTCAACCCAGGCGGTGCCGTTCGCCCGGTAGAGACGGCGTGGGTCGCCCAGAGACCATGACAGAGGGACGGCCGAGGATTGATTGCTGACACAGACCTGGTGGCGGAATTTCGCAGCATTCAAACGCAAAGGCAAGACGGCCTCGACGAAGACGAACGGGTTTGCAGGCAGGCGGACAGCAGGTGGCAAGGTAGGTGCGATCTGTAGACGTGAATTTGAAAAAATAATTATCTTAAATCATTTTCCTCATGTTTCTGTCAAAATGTTCTGTAAGGCCGTATTCTGAAACACAGATGCGGACCTTGCCCTCCTTCACCACGCACCTGGTACCCTTCGAAGGGTACCAGACATACTTTCTTTCCAACCTTGCTCCCCATCGCTCGCCGCGATGGCACCGCCGCCGCCCGTCCTGCACATCAAGTGCCCTCCCACCGTGCTTCTAGAGACATGCGATGCCATTACTTGCCTCTGCAGCGTTGCACGCGCGTTCACGCCCTCGTTCGCCGCGCCGTACATCGAGATTCGTGTCCCGCTTGAGCCGACCGTACAACGTGCAATGCTCCAGAAAACCGTTGCACAACAAGCGTGCAGTCTGAGAAGAGGGGCGTAGTGGGGCTACAAGCGTGTAGTATAACGAGAATCAAAAATTTGTGATGGACTGCGAGAGTCGCATTCGGGTGAATACGTCCCAATAATGGCCCTGGGCACCAGAGTCTGTGACCCAGAGCCATACAAATTTGGTCCCAATTACCAGGGCTCATGGCTCCGTAAAATCCTGGTTGACAATTGATTTTTCTGATATTCGCCTCAAACGGCACTCCCATTGGTCCCGGTGGTGGACCTTGTTGGATCCTGCAAGCAAGGCCTCAATGATGGAATATTTCCATCCACCCTCGATCGGAGCTGTAATGCGATCCGGCATCTTTGAAAAGGTTGATGAATGTTTCTGAAGTTTCAAAGGTTCCCAAAGTGCTGCCGAAAGTTTGAGCAACTTTTTCTGCGAAACTCAGAAACATTCGTAAGCAATTTGTGAACAGCTCGATTAGCTGTAATTCCAACTGAGCCACTTTTCCACAAAACCGAAAAGAATCGGCAAACCATTGCCAAAACGTTTGCGGAAATTTTAGGCGAAACTATAAACGTCCGTGCTAGTTTTGGAAAGACGTGGTCACAAGCATAACTGGACTTACAGTGACAGGTATTTCCCGTAGCGATTCCATCATGCTTCGTCCATTGTTGGCAGTGGCGCACCAATGATATTTAAACGAATAGAAATGCGCTACAACACGGCATACCAGGCGAGCTGAGTCATGGACGCAACACCAGGGGCAAAAATGAGACGGGGCCAGGGCCAGAACGTCTCGGAGCGGATGACCGCGCAGGACCTATTCTCCTGATCGCGACTCTGCGAGTTAGGAACGGCCCTGAATTGGAAATTGGACATGGTTGCGAGTACAGTTATAATGTCTCCCGCTTTTTTTAGCGTAAATCAATACTCCAAATCACCCTCGCACTCCAAATTACTCTCCCAGGGAAAGGTACATAGAAGCCCAAGTTTATGGTAAACTTGAATTTTATGGTCTCGTTTGCCTTTTTTCTTTTCACACGTGTGCACCTGTGCGACCTGTGCACGTGTATCAATATCCTCTCAACTTTGAGACTCGCGGCCCTGCCTTGAGCCGGTCGGTAACGCTTGCTCTAATCAACACACCTTTTCTCGCACGCGACTGACGCATCTGATGGCAGGGTGCCACGTGGGTCATTGGGTCACAATATCTTCTGCGTGCCGGGAGGGAACGAGGTGGCGCCTCTGTCGCTTCTGTCCGAATACTTGACGCTGCTGTGATTGTTTCTCAGTCGTCCCTCTGCGTGGAGGACAAGCCTTTGCCATGGAACACTTATTACACGTCAAGTCTGCTTGCATCCCTCTAGAGTTGTTTACTGAGTGTTGAAAGGGAAGCAGGTCGATACTTCATACTGACGCATACATGGACTGCAACATCCATCAAGAAAGCGCATTCATAACGAAACAAAAAACCCTCCCCACTACAGTACCACCTCGCACAGTTGCAACGCAGTACTAATGTCTCGGGCACCAAGCGTCCATCGCTTTCCGAATTTACACCACTAGCCTCATGATAGCAACTAGATGACCCACCCTTGCTACTGCGACCCCGTGATCATGGTCTATCTGCAAGTCTCTTGGATTGTCCAACTGTGCCAAGACAGCCTCAGACCCATCCTCTCGCCTTTGAATAATTCCTCCCTCCCTTGAAAATATTTGTGATCTTCGTCCGGCGTGAGAAGCAGTACCCAAGTCTGGCGTCGTCAGGAACCGACTCTTGATATCTCCCAAATCCTCTACCCTCCCGATGTAAAGTGTGATCCCTCTCTCCACGTCCCACACTCGCAATCTCTTGTCCTCCGATCCAGATACCACACGTCTTCCGTCCCCACTCATCGCAACGCTTCTCACCCAATGCGTGTGTCCAACTAACGCGTCCCCGACTTGTGCTCCCGTCTCCACGTCCCACACCCGCACGCTCTTGTCAAACGATGTAGATGCCACACGTCTTCCGTCCTCACTCATCGCAACGGTACACACATCCTCCGTGTGTCCAACTAACGCCTCCCCGACTTGTGCTCTTGTCTCCACGTCCCACACCCGCACCCTCTTGTCAGCCGATCCAGATACCACACGTCTTCCATCCCCACTCATCACAACGCAATACACAATACCCGTGTGTCCTACTAACGCATCCCTGACTTGTGCACTCCTCTCCACGTCCCACACTCGCACGCTCGTGTCAAACGATCCAGATGCCACACGTCTTCCGTCCCCACTCATCGCAACGCTACGCACCCAATCCGTGTGTCCAACTAACGCCTCCCCGACTTGTGCTCCCGTCTCCACGCCCCACACTCGCACGCTCTCGTCATACGATCCAGATACCACACGTTTTCCGTCCCCACTCATCGCAACGCTACGCACTACATCCGTGTATCCGACTAACGCCTCCCCGACTTGTGCTCCTGTCTCCACGTCCCACACCCGCACGCTAGCGTCCTCAGATCCAGACACCACACGTCTTCCGTCCCCACTCATCGCAACGCAACGCACCTCCGACCTATGACCGTGGAAACTTCTCAATACTTTCTTCTCCGACGTACTCCACAGCCTTAACGTCCCGTCTTCATATCCCACAGCAACATACCCCTTCCTCTCACAGAAAGTTGCGCACGTAGCTTTCGTCATGCTCCGTTTTTGTCCAGTCACTTCGGAGGTTACACTTCTTGCTTCAACGTCCCCTGGGCTCTGGCTCTCCGTTTCGAGCTCGCCTTCTAATCGAACCATCTTCGTCTCCTTCTCAGCACATTGCGTGAAAACTGTTACTTCTGCCCCGGACCCGTTCAGCTGACATCCATACACCTCACCACTGGAATCCATGCCCACTTGAATTTCTCTGGAACCGAAATATGGCAGAACAATCTGCTCCACCAACCTTCCATCGGCTCGCGCTACACACTCACCCACAGGTCGCACCCACGGCCGTGGTGCGTATGTCTCGATTTCCTCGAGTATCCTTTGCACACTACCTAATTCTGGTGCCCTGTGCTTGATTCTTCCGTACAGTTGAAAGTAAATCCCTGCACTGCCTTCACCACAAAAAGGTACACTCAGTCGTGCAGCTCTCATCATCAATTCCATCGCAGACACCGAATCTTCTTCTCCGGTATCCCTTAAAAGGCTCTCGCTTCCTCCCGTGTTCCTCAAGAAGATATTTAGATCCTTTACAGCTTCCTCGTATTGCCACACACTTCCTCTCTGTATCACTGCCTTCACCCATCGCGCTTTCAAAAATAGATTCTTCAGCTCCTCCAAACACCCGCCCTGTTTCAGAACGCGATATATGCTCTCGAAAACATACTTCTCTCTTGCATCCTTGCTCTCTCTGCCCTCGCTCTCAGTTATAGCAAGCAGTCCTCCTCCCTGCTTGCATACATCTGCCAACTTCTTATACCAGACCGTTACACTTTCTTCCTTCTGCGCCTCCTGCACCGCAAAATCGTGCGTCAGATCATGCATCCGTACCCACCCACCATCATTGTCGTAATGAAGGTCTACTAATCCAACCCTATCCATCTGCTTCGCACATTTGTCCGCCAATTTGTAGTCCATCTCCCACAACTCTCTTACCAACGACAAAGGCATCCGGTCTTGTTTCTTCATAATACACAAACTCCGATGTATCTTTCGAAACGAAAACTGACGTAACCTCTCCGCATCGCACCCCATGCCGGACTCCAAAATATCTAGTGCCGCATGTAATGTCGCGTCTAACGACGAATACCCATCCTCTGGACTCTCACTACGAAGCGCGTTGCGGCTCTTCATCTTCAGGTATGCCTCCCACGCTTGTGACTTTTCTCCCTCCCATCTATCTCTCATGCACCTGACACCCGTCCCGGCTACGTTCAGAGCAAGCGGCAAACCAGCTCACGATTTCAATATTTCGCTCACGGCCTCTTTGCATCTCGGATCATTCGCTTCCTCCGGGTTCGCCCCGCTCGCAAGCATGAGCATGTGAACTGAATCGCTCCCTTCCTTTTCCCTCGGCTCGAAAGTCACTCGCTTACCGACCTGTTTCAGCTCGGAGTCCCTCGTGGAATACAGAAGTCTGCTCCTCTCTCGGATGTCTCCTGCTGTGTCAGCGAGAATGGACAACTTCTGAAGAATACACGCATCTATACCATTCACGGCCCACACATCATCAATAATGAACAGGCATACACGTGTGTTGAACCATGCTCGCATCTCGGTCAGTACCCTGCTCAACTCGCTTTGCTCTCGCATTTTCGCAGCCGCCTGGTTGCCACCAGACGCCTCTACGGTTATACACAGTTGCTCAATCAGCCGCCCTACGTTGGCATCTTTCCCCAAAGACATCAAGTACACTCCGCCTGAAAACTGAGCATTGATGTCATCGTCGTGCGCAATCGCTCGAAGAGCGCAGGTCTTCCCGACTCCGCCCTTCCCCGTTGCCGTCGCTCCTATAGTTTTCCTATCGGTACTTAGCACGGCCTCCTTTAGCCGCGCCTCACACGTATTCGGTGATCCATTGATCCCCCGAGAATTCAGTTGCAAATATATTTCTTGGGGATTGTGCTCCGCGAGTATGCAGGGCGTGAACTCATCAAGCATACATCGTGCGGTGGACGTGATGGCAGCGTGGGCTTCAACTTGGCCACTTGCATTCACAACTTCTCCCACTTCATCACTGGAGGCCTCCTCACTTTTCTTTTTCACCCACAGAAATACTCGCTCCACAAGATGTGTCCTTGCAAGATGGCCGAATTCATCTTCCAGCAGGTTTTGTTGCCCTTTCTTCATTTTCAATCCCAGTGATACCTGCCAGCTCTTGTAGCTCCCCCTTCACCGTATCTGTGCTCGCTTCGTGCTGTCGTTCCTCGCTAAAAAACTTCTCAACTTCAAAAATATTCTTTCCTTCATCATCCGAGTACCGATTGGGATCCAGCTCTCTGCATTCACGAATACTTAGTCTGTAAAACACCGGAATCAATGTCGGTGGCCGCATCTCACTCCCTATCGCCTCTCTCCGTCGGCGAAGGAAGCAACGCAGTTCCCTCATCGTCCACTTTCGAGCCGCAAACTCGGGAGAAAGTATGAAAACACCGACCTTAGCAGACTCCATAGCCATCGTCATTTCATCCCCTCCGCAGTCCCCGGGCTCCATCGAGGTTTTGTCGAGGAAGCAATTTAAACCATGAGCTTGCAATTTCTCGGCAAGGGGACGTGCGATGAGTAGCTTGTCCGGGCCAGCATGGCTTATGAACACATCGGGAGACCGTATCTTTCGCCGTTTTCTACTTGGTCCCGTCTCTTGCCGCAAGCTTTCCGGCATTTTTTTGTGAATAGCTAAAGACAAGTTGGTGAGGTGTGGAGTGTGTTAGGAGTGTGTTATGCGTGAGAACGGCAGCGGCTGTTAGAAAAACAGGGACGCGAAGGTTGAAGGCCGCGTTCAGCGCACGGCACTCTTGTCGTTGTCGACGAAAGCGGAAACAGTGGCGACGGTCGTGTGCGTGCGTGTGGGTAGGGTGAGCTGATGTGCTTTGGCTTGTTCTTTCGTGAATGAATGTTCGTGTGATTCCAGCGAGGAAAGACGCACTAATCGTAAAGCATGAAAAGAATCATGAAACGTTGATTTACGTACTGTTGTTCTTCGGTCGAAGGGGGTTGGTGGTGTTTTCTGGGAAAGTGGGGTGTTGAGTCTCGCCGTAGAGTCCGGTGTGTCCGATCTGTCGACACTCGGCCACCTTCCACGCTTTGATTTCCTCCCCATCCCTTCTACTGTAGAAGCATCCACGCATCCGGCCCGGATTTCCCAGACCGTCTGCGCGCGTTTCCCTAAAATTCATATAAAATCTCCCACTACAGTATAAAATCTGACACTGCTGTAAATTGTAATTTTGCAGTAAAATTCCCTCACAACTGTGTTGACGTCACACCAAACCAACAATTGGAGGAAAGCATAACGTTTACAGTGTAAACGTGTAAACTTTACACAGCCATGTTGAGCGCAATCTCTTGTTTGTAATTTGGATGTACAGTGGTGCCTCGTTAATGAATCCGCTCTGTGTGCGCCAATGAGGTGGATTCATTACTGGAACGGATTCATTAGCGGTCACACCAAGCCGCTGTTTTGGAAAGGAAAAAAGCCGAAGAGGAAGCAAATTTATCAATGGAAAGGTCTTACAAGGCACTTTGTTCGAACGTGGAATGGATGCGGAATAATGTGGAGAAGGCCAAGTAGAGGGGTGCTAGTGAAATCATTCAAGGAAATCTGGTCGATGTCTTGCGAGTCGCGACGGCGGAAAGAAACGCTGCTGCTCCGCAACAGAAGCAGAAAAGTATCATCGATTTTTTTAAAAAGCAGTAATAAATCAACTCTCCTCAACATACAAGCATTTGATGTGAATAGAATGTGGTCAGTTCACCTTGTTGTGGTAAAAGGGAGTGCCCCCTGGCCAGGAGACAGGTGGAGAGGGATGTGCACAGTATATGTAGTAGCGATTCCAACACTCGTTATTGAAGCATATCGTTATCATACCTCTTATCATACGGTTTGTCATAAAAGGGTGTGTCAAGCCCCGACCCGGATTCATTAGGTCTCAAACGCAGATCCTCGCTGCGTGCAGCAAGATTTACTTCACATGCAGAACAAAGGTAAAATATGTATGCACTTGGTCTTTACGAAGTTTCTTGATAATCATTGGCCATCCTCAGTCTTTTCGAAAATTTCGTTATGATAAACTAGAACATGGGCAACTGTAAACTGATATCACTATTGTTCCGTTCCACAACCATTCGGCTCTTCCAAAAATCTTCCGCAAGAGACGCACCCGAAATCCGCCACCTCCCTCTCCCATCCGCCCGCGTGAGAGACAACAGCTCATGTCAGCTGTTGTCTGTGTGAACACACCCCCTATTTCCAGGTGCACCACACAGTGCCACCCTTCTCACTCTCCCCCCCGCCACTTCGCCGCCCACTTCCGCCCAACTCCCGCCGCTCCTCATGCGCACTACACCCATCCATCTGACCCGCCAGCATTTGCCCCTTTCCCGTCCGTCCCGGCCCTCACTCACCCTTCCAGTACTCTCCCTGCCCAGTTCCTCCCCCACATGCCTCCCCGACTCCCGGGTCCAGCCGGCAAGTGCTGCAGAGCACCTTCGACGCGATCGTGCGGGAGCACATATCCGATTTCGGCCAGACCCCTGCGGAGGCGGTGTCCGACGCGCGCGCCCAGCTGACCGCCGCGGGCCTCACGGACCAGTCCAACCTCTCGGACCCGACGTCGTCCGGCCCGGCGGACGTACAACAGCGCGCCGCGGAGCTCTTGGCTGCGCTGCGGGCAGACCTGGCCCTCCCGTGCGACGCAGTCACCGCGGAGCGCATCGCACGCCCCCTGCAGGCGGCGGAGGCGGCGCTAAGCAGGGCGGCGCCCTGGGCGGCGCACACAAAAGCCGGTGCACGCGAGGGCAGCAAGGGAGCCGAGAAGGCGGAGGTGGAAGAAGACGACGCGGGCGTAGCGCGGCTGCAGGATCTGCAGGACCAAGGCGACGGCGGCCGCGAAGTGCACGGCCAAGGGGCAGGCCTGGAGAGTTGTGCTACCCGGACGACGAAAGAGGGGATTGTGTTTTCGCGTGTGGACATTCAGGCGTGCTGGGATCATGGTTACGGCGTTTACGCACTACGTTTATGAAAGAGAGCAAAGGGAAAGTTGCACGCACAATCAGTGAAGCGTCCGAGACACGCACGAGATGTAGTTTTAGTCGGACTCATCTGTGTGGTTGATGGATCTGAATTGCATCTCCACTCGGCGACGACGCTTTTCGCGATAACGCCTTTGCACCTGGCGCCGTTTTTGAATTTGAGATGTTGCTATATGATAGCGGCGGTTCTTCATCGTCCTCAAAATTTTGGAGTCCTCAGCGCGTAGAGGATTCTTGTGTAAATGAAAGTTTGCCAGTCCCACACATAAACGAAAAATACTGTCATAACCCGCCTCACTCCATTTCCACTTCGCTGCCATGACATTCCAAAGACCACAAAGCCTTCCAAAAAAGTTCTCCACTATAATTCTATCGCTTGAAATGTGCCTGTTATTAGAAACCTCGGCTTGCGTAAGTGTTCCATTGATCGGTTTTTTGGTCGGATGGATCACACGACAGAACTCCTTAGCCCCATAGTATCCTTTATCGCACAGTACAGCCCAATAGTTTGGGAACTCATTCGACAAGGGCCCATCATCCTCTATGTCATTTTCACCTTCCCCTTCACCTTTGCGAAGTTGTTTCGAGTGAAAGGGTAGCATGGCCTCGAATATTTTTAAGTCTGACACTGACCCAGGCTCGTGAGCGCTGCAACCTAAAGCAAGGCCATTTGGCAATACCGAGACCTCAGTCTTGTAGCCATACAATTTATGTTTCCCGCTATAGTACAGCTTGCCTTCCTCCACGCTGCAACTCGGGCGGAAACTTTGCTGGAATGTCACATCAGTGGCATAACGCGCAACAGGGTAGTTTTTAAACCCGACTTTCTTGCTCTCCATGACGGCCATTTTCCATTTCTTACCTTGATATTCCACATAGTGATGGAAGACCGGATAAGAGATTATGTCTATAAATTTCATAATCATTCGCTCAAACGTAGGACCTTTCAAACTGAACATCTTGGCCAAGAAGTCCCATTGGCCTCCATGTTTTAATACAGAGAGTGTCATAAACAGGACATCACGTGGAGTATGGGAGCATTTGCGTCCACGCCCTGCATTGTACCTCTCTTTGATGGCCTTTTCCAGGCTGCACCAAGTGGAATGGAATTCTGTCGGACTGAAGTTGGTCATCTGTATGACGGCGGCAGCGCCCCC